CGAATATTATAATCTGTTATTCAATGGCTCGTATAGATGAAAGTTGTTTGGCGGTATATATTTGACATTTGGTAATATATTATTTGCCATGTCTGAATATTTATCTAGAAGTTGTGTGAAAGGGCTTTGTTATCTGATATCCCGTTATTTATTTGTAACTGTTTTTTTTTTAGCCACATATTTTAAATCAATTAATGGCTTTTTAGTTGTGTTCACTCAAGGCAACGCCCAAGAACCACTCAAGATAGAAGGTTACTGCATGAGGTTGTTGTAAGAATACAAAGAGTAAGAGGTGAGAGTTACAGTTTTGGAGGAAGTGGTAGAAACATAACGTTTAATCCTAGATATAATTGACTTATGCATTCTCGACCACTACAAACTTAACTTGTTCAAGTTAAGTTTGTAGTGGTCTAGAATGCATCATCTTGTGAGTCGTGTAATAGTGGGAAGAAGCTGTTCCAGTGAAAATGAATTTTCATTAATACTAAGGGAATGAGAGTGGTTGGCCTCAGTGTACGCGGCGTTGTGTGGGCTAGAGTTGGTGGAACTAAGGAATGTAGTTCACCTGGAATGTGAAGACTAGACAACTCCAGCCGAAATCAGACGTTATCTCATATTAATATAAACGGTCACACGTCTTTCTGAAGACATCCTGGCAAATATTACATGGTGTGGTACTTAAAACAGTAGACATTCTAGTTCTTATGATGCGACGATGTGGTAGTAACGAAATTGTGTCGTAACTCGAGAACGGCCTCTAACGTAAGTCGAATGAGTCGAAATTGTTATTTTAAATTCAGTACCTTAAAAGAGATTTGGATGATCCGCAATCAAAAGCAGAAATAAAGAATACATTCTAATTAATAATAGCCTCATAGAGATATTGTCATGATGCTGGCAAATCGTGTATGACAGAAAATCTCTAAATCTCCATTAAACAAAACGTGAAACATGGTTTCATGAAGAAAGCAAAACCTTCTATAGTGAGCTTGAAAATGTTTACGATAACAAAAGGTTTCTTTTCCGTTACATAATTTTTATAATTTATTGTTCTAATTATTCTCTTGTATTATCCATATTTTTTAATCCCTTATAACTCCTAAGTCATAAATTTAACTGTTATAGTTATATCGATGAAATCACAATACTGTATCGGAAATTATGCCTAACTTAATGTATAAATGAACACGCTTACTCCAATAAAATGTATATTTCGTACATTATTTAAAGTTGACCAGCATTTCCTTTGGAAATGTATACAACGATTCCTGTGGCTCTTCTAGATCTCAAAACACTAGGGAAGTCCTCTTGCTGAAGGCCATTCAGTACCGCATGCTATTCAGACATCAAAGGTATTTAAAAACTGTTCGACATAGCATTTCAAGGGTCTTGGTAGCATTTTTACAAAGGAAGGAAGGTTGCTCGAAGTTGTTATTCGCCTTAAAACTCACAGAGATATAATAAAGCAACGTACTATCTGGACAGGAGTTGCTAGTACACATAATCGTTGCAGACTTAGTCAGTTATATACCAATGATCGTTGGTTACGTTCATGGTCCAGAATTTTAAATATCTAGAAAGCATTTTAATATAGGATGAAAAATGTGACACCGAGATTCGAAGACGCATTCAAATAGCGAATGAACCATTTGAACAGCTACGCAATAGGCTGAGAAACGGGAAAAATAGTTAGAAACAAAGGAAAGAGTGTTGGATGTCTGTGTGTTGTTCATCTTTGAATGAGAAAAAAGGCAGCATAAGTTCAGTTTTAGAGAAGAAAACTGGAAAACGCCATGGACGGAGCGAGTAAGCAACAAGTAAATACTAAAACATTTCAATGGAAAGAACACTTATACACAGAATCCAGAAAAACAGCTGAGGTTCTTTAGGTAAATAACAAAGAGGGATGGTTCACGGGTTATATTGAGGCCAAGAGAACTAGAGAAATGCAGCTAGCCTCTTAGCTGACGAGCTTTTATTAGTGGATTGCGGAGTCTTATCAAAGTAAGAAAAATCTACTAAGATCCACACGGGATAGGAGATTGTGGAGATTGTAAAGTCCTGCACGAGACGCAACGAGACACAACACAAAAAAGATACAATCATAGCACTTACAATCAGGGGATTTCCCGATTTGAAACATATGCTGAGGTCTTGCAAAATAAATTCTCTAACAGCGTGAATTCTGCTGTGTTACCAAATAAATATACCGTCACTGTTTTTTCAAATAAATTTTAAAACGTAATAAAAGTTTTTTCTTTTATAAAGTTGTCAGCGGACTATATTTTTTTCACAAACGCAAAATTAAAATAAAATTAAGAAATCAATTATATCGACGGGATGATCGGCATATTCAATCGATGGCTAAGAGGAGGCAGAATCAGAAACTACTACATCAACACCCGCTAAGCTCAGAACATGAGTGTAGCATAAATGACTACCAGAAGATTAACAGGTTGCTGTTCGATAGATTCTATAATACCTTACAGCGAAGAAGATGAGACATAACAGAATTGCCTGATAGGCCGCAAAGATCAAAAGAATGGGTATTAACAAGAAACCAGATGGCATAAAGATTTAAAGAATCTCTACAGTTGATGACCAATACGAATAGCAAATGTTCAAGAGATCACAGTAAAAGACGATCGATATCCCATATGCACAGAAACCTGACAAAAGTAAATAGAAGCTGTTCTTTTCAAGTAAGAATCCTCATTCAACGTGTAATACTGTCCAAGCATGTGATCCGTCTGATATAGGCATTTTGCACTAGTTCTAGAGATCGGTGTTAGAACCCGACTAAAAGCGTAATATAATCCTATATCCCCATATTCAGCTCAATTTGAAAAAAAAATCACATGACCATAACCTTTTTGCGTACCTGGGCTAATGAAATTATTCCTCCAGCACCTCAGATGGAGTCACCTCCAGAGTCGTCCACACGGATTTTGAATATGTTTTACTGGTGGTATATTTTTAGCGATATTTGGATAGATATTTTAGTTATTAATAAGTTTACTTCAAGCTATCTTTTGTCAATAAAAATGCCTTGGTACTCACTAACATTAACCTTTGGAACTGGCACCAGCCATGCCACGTACATATGGGTAAATCATCCCCATTCTTTCCGTATTTCAATAGTAAGCAGTAAGTTCCACTCGGAGAGCTTCATCCCAAGAACTGCTGCATTGTGAAACAGACTCCCAGTAGCATGTTTTCCCAATCACTTGTCTTTTTTTACGCTCATACAACACGAAGTAACCTTGAGTGGTTCTTCGGGTTTTGTGTTGAGTGAACATTAGTATAAAAAACATTAATATTTATTGATGAAAATTAAAATTTGAAGCAGTTCCTATTAGAAAATTTAAAAAGTTAATATGTTCGGGTGTTCACCAAATCAGTTATTTGTGGTTTGCATTCAAAACATGGGAATATTTTTCTTTCGGAAGATTTTTTTCTAAATATTTTCAAGATGTTACGTAAATGTTCGACAGGATTTATATCAGGACAATGGCATAACGATCAAAGTAACTTAATGCCTCTTATGTATTACATGAGACCCAATCATTCAAAGAAATGGCGTACTTGGTTCAAATACCGGTCAGTGAATATTGGAAGAAGTCTCTGCTCAGTAACAAATCATCCGCCATGTTTAATAGCAAACTAAGTAACGTTCACTCGAACTTTTTGGCGAAATACACTCCGGATATTTTGTCTGCAAAAATTAAAACCCAATTTTCATTATTTTTGCATTTTTGCTGAATGTTCCGTTATTAAGGCCAGTAAAAACTCATCTTATAATCTCATAATACTGCGCACGTCTATTACCGAGTGTTTAATTTAACTCATTAACTGCCAAATTTTTTTAATGCGCATTTTTGGCCAAAACAGGTGTCTTAGGAGTTTATTTATTCCTTATGTTTAATTTCAGTAGTTACCATTGTCATTTTTATAGAAACTAGAACATCAAATGTATATGTGTATAAAACATCAAAAAATAATATTGATTAGAAATAATTAAAAAAATACTTTTCAAAATAGTCATTATTTTTCTACTCGTGAAATGTAAAATTACGCCAGAAGGTATCTTCTTACGACTAATAATAAAAACTTTAAAGGCTAAGTGTTGTAAAATATACCTCTGCAAATGCAATTTATGTAAGCAATTCAATGTAAATACAAGGAACAACATGTAGTGAGTTTAATTTTAACAGATCCCCAAATGGGGCTCATGGCAAGTAATGGGTTAATATATTGATACCAACACACATCTGCTGCATTGCAACGGAGAGGTTTTTCAACATTCCCTTCTCATCGTATGAAAACAAATTTATCGAGGTCTAATTTGACCTGAACAACAACTACTTGATCATGACTCTCCACAACTTCTTATTCTTTGTAGCTATAAACAATGCTTACTCCCTTACTATCCCTCCAGTCCCTCTTATGTCATCTATTTACCCAAGCTCATTAAGCAGGTTACTCGATATTTCTCTCTGCTCCATTTAATTTCAACACTTCATGTGAGGGCCAAATTCTCCAATCCCCCCTTCTTCATTATGTGTCACAGAAATTTCATCTTTATAAGGTAAAGTGTTCTTTTCGTTCTCATTTTCATTAAAACTCGTGTCCACGTATTCCATCCATAGTATTTTTACTCTTCTTCTAAAGAACTACATCTCTCTTATCTCAAGTTTCCACTTAATCTGCTTTTTTATTGGTTCACTGGTTTTTTACGGCTTATCAACCCATTTCAGGTTATTTAAAGCCAGAAAATATTTTTAGACTGAAAGAATTTTTTAGAGATAATAATGACTTCGTGAAACAATTGTTGCTAATTAACCCATAGGTGGGGAGAAATGATGAAATCATACTTTCCCAATGGTATTTATCATTAAATGAATATAACGAAGCTAATGAGAATCGGAACCCTGTTCTCCGATTAACAATTCCGGGATTTGAGAGTTATCCATTACACCATCCACATATACAAGGTTCTATCACCTCGTATTCCCAAGCAGCCACCCATCTAGGCACTGACCAGGCACGACATTGCTTAACTTCAGGGATCATACGAGAAACGGTGTTTTAATGGGAATCGGTGATTTAACATAATGTTTTAACATAATGTGGCCATAAACCCTCTTCATTTGCGAATAAATTGTCCAGCATTCACTGCCATATAAGAGAAATGAGATTACATAGCAGTTCAGCACATTTCTTTTTGTTTTTTAACGAACATTTTCTATGTCTTGATACTTTATTTAGGCATTATTCTTGCAATGTTTCGAACTATTGTTTGCTCCTCTCAGAAACACAACCCGACATCATAGCTAATAACTACCTGACATTGAATATAAAAGGCTCCAAAAATCGATTGAGTGGGAACGAACAATAACAAACAGGGGTAAAATAACAAAAAATCAACATATATGCCATATCAGCTAAGCAAAGGATTTCTGATAATGACCAGAGGGTACTTGGTCAAAATGTCTATAATCACATCCGTATCAACCAAGATGAAAACAATAGTTCAAAATAGTACAAGAATATGACAATTAATCATCTCAAAAGTAATTTGGAAGAAGGCATTTTTACCTATTCTAATGCACCTTCGTATTTCAGAGTCATATTTTCTGTTGTCTGCCATAACACTTCCCAGATAGTTTTCTGTACTTTTACGAACCAGACTTATATCCCCATATACTTAGATCCAACATTTAACAGATACGATCTGAAATGTTTAATTTTTAATAGGAATGAGTAACTAATTCCATATCTTCTATAAATTTGTTTAGATAAAAAAACAAGTTTTTGCGCGAAATCGTAAATAAGATCAGCAGGTGTGTCACCGACAGTATCACTTCGATCTTCTTTGATCTGTTGCGATGACGGAATGAAGAAAAGTCCTGCTATTCGAAATTCATACACACATTTCTGAATGTCTTATTTTTACCACCGCCATGTTAAAAAAAAACCCTGTCATGTCGTAATTATTGGAATATGATAAGAGAAGGAAGGTACCGTGAGCTGCTCACTTTTTTTGATAATTACTATCTTGGATTTAATGAAACTTGCTCATTCCATCACCAGCCGACACAGATAAAATATCCTTAGCGCCAGGGGGAATTCCTCTTTCATTTTTTTTTTCAAATACTTTACCCATGAAACAACAGGAAGAATGAAATAAGGCCTCAAAAGAAGACACCAGAAATCAATATTTCATAAGTAAACGAGAAAGGTGAGCTGGTTCAGTTTGAACAGCGCACATTGTTTTACTTAATCAAATATTGATTTCCTGTAATTTTGTTTGTCGAAAATGTCTTCCTTTATGAAAGACAGGAGCTACTATCTACTATCAGTGTACACTTTGTCACTAATCAGTGTACAGTTTTGTTTCTTTTTATCTAATGTTCGCCATATAAAAAATCCAAGAGCCACTCAAGCAAAGGGTTACTGAAAAAAGTTGATTACTGGATTAAGCGGCAAAGAGTAAGACGTGTGTGGCGCAGTTTATTAAGATATATACGAAGCATTGCAGTTAACCATAGATTTGAAAAGATTAAGATCGTAGTAGACGGGACAACATCCTCATGGGAGTCGATTCGTGGGAAAAAACAGTTCCAGAGAAACGTCCTTCTTACTAAGGAAATAGGAAAGTACTAAGGGGATCACTTTTTCTTTCGGCCATATTGTATGTTGGAATGAATGCGTAATACAAGCTTAAATCATCTACGTAAGTTTGGATCTTGTATTCTTTCCGTATATGTTTTAACGAATATTGGTGATATGAAAAAGTACGTTTGATGATTATCTATTGTATATTGGTTTTATATTAGTATACTTTCTCGGTATTTTCTCCATAAATTGTTGTCTTCATTACTTACTCAGGCAACATTTTATAAATCAGAGTTCTTGCTGGTTCTATTTCTATGTGTTACTATAAATCATTACAGCTGTTGGTAAAATAAGAACAAGACAAACCACTAATTTTATTTCTAGATTATTAACATTGATTCTTAAAGTCTCATCTTCTGACACAGCTTAAGAGAAAGCCAGCGGCATTCAAATGAAAACTTAATTTCAATCATTACAACGATCCAGCTGCGATCACACTGTGAATTCTTAAGTAAATTAGGTTTTGAAAAAGACAGGCCTATGGTGTAGCTGCTATGTTCCTCGGGTCTAACATTATCAAGAACTTTTCGAGCCTTGCCAAGAGGCATGTTTATAAATGCAGAAAGCAATTTGAATTCAAAAATTAATTTTGGGACGTAATATTATCTGTTTGCAAAACCGTTAACCCTGAAGAAATTCCCGAGTTGACTTCTACTGGCTTCAAGTCATGAAAAAGAACAGAACTTCTGTCTGTAAATAATATTACTTTTCTGAATCGTTTATTTTAACCAGCTTATTGTTATAGTCCAAGTTCCTTGCCCCATGGTGATGGTCCAAGGTTAGAACCAATGAAAGAATAACACGAACACAGGTATGGCATACAAAGATATATTACAACAGAAATATAATACAAAGAAGTAGAAGTATTAGTAATGACTATCAGATTTGGTTAGAGTGAACTATGTTGTCTCGACAAGTATCACTATTCCAATGTCCTAACAATATGCTCTCAATTATCTCTCCTCGTCTTACAATCTCCTCATACCTCTTGAGAGGTGCAGTATTAATGTCAGGAATAGTCCATTATTATTATGGGTAAGTTCCCATGACACTTATCATGAGTAGAGTTTCATGTTCTTTCTTTTAATACATTTTTGTTTCGCTAGTCATCGGCTTTCCTATTTTATTCGCACATACGTTCATATTGATTTTTAAGATGATTGCATAAAAAGTGGAACAGGCTAAAATTCTTTTTGCATATTTAAGTATAAAATCAATTCTATTTTATACCGTAATTTAGGATTTCGGGATATTGCGCATACAGACAAATCTAAATTTTATCATTTTCGATCCATAGTTTTATAAATATTGTAATTTATCTTATTCGCATAAAATTATAGAGGCCCATCTTTCATAAGGAGTAATTTCAACTTAACTTTTCTTCAGAACTAATACTTCCTGGAACAGACTCCCAAGATAAAGTTTCCCCGACCACTAAAATTTAAACCACTTCAAGTCTGGAGTCAACCGATATATATATCCTGGATATCCTCAAAATATGCACAACTTATTTTCTCAATCCTCTCCATTAAGCCCTTGCAAAAATAGAAACAAAGTAACCCTCTACCTTGAGTGGCCCTTGGGTCTAGTATTGTATTAACTAAAGGAAACAAAATGTTCGATAATATACGTTTATATTCTTCCCTCTATCTCCATATATATAATTTTATGATGAAGTTCTTTTAGAGGCCGAAATGCGCTGTATAATTTTTCCTATTTTTCAACCAATTATATATATATATATATATATATATATATATATAGAGAGAAAGAGAGAGAGAGAGAGAGAGAGAGAAATCGTAGAGTAGTACCATAAGATTCAATTTCCCTATATTGACGTGTCAAAACTCATAGAATGGCTGTATTAAAACTAATAGGATATGACGCTTACGTAACTTGACGCCCTGAAATTGCCCAGACCTATACCAGTTGTACTCCGGCATTTGGTGAATTAGTGTGAACACAGACTAGGGTGATTATTTTCCTTATCGAAGTTCAAACAAGCAACGATATTCGGTGACAGGTGGAGATGTATTTCCATTTCTGCAACTGTGGGAATACTTGACATTCTTCGACCTACGATATCAGTTGTATACCTGAAATACCCGATAGAATGCATTAACTATTCCCCATTTCAATGTACCAGATGCATAACCTTCAGGTCAGCTCTCTTCAGTTTCCATAGCGTATAGGAGTACAATATACATAATGCTTAGCTTGGTAACACTGTGACACATAGACGCAGAGCCTTTACAGAACTACTGAGAATCCAGTACTAGTTTTTTCAGTTCTTTATGATATTGTAGTAGAAAAATCTCACTTAGTTGCCCATGTTAACACCACGACACTTGGGCTCGTGGTATTAATTGGGTCCTAGAAGACTGGTAGTATGTGCTAATGATAGTGTTCAGGCGTGGTGTGGATCCAATGAAACTATGAATCCCATCTATCAACAAGATACCATGCAGGTTGGTGGTGCTTCTATACAGCCGGTCCGTTCGGTGTTCGATCCTTGCGGTTGATCCAAGCCTTGCCTTATGCTAGGTTGTGTTTGATTTAAATCACAAGGCTGGCGAGGATCAAATTGACAACAGGAATCGCTGTATTAGCCTTGTCCGAACAAAGCGAAACCACAAGTCATAGAATAAATTGTAATAATGAAAATGTTTTATATACCGTTTCTTGTACAGAGCCGATGGTACAATATCCTTTCTTATGTTAGAAATATATGTTCTTTGTGCAGGAATATTTTTGTCATGCAAAGTTATTCGACCCTTCCCTTTTGGGAATATTTCGTGACTAAATCTAACCAAGGATTTTGAAACAAAGCGCCAAGTCGGAGTTCTTCTTCAGCGGCAGAAAGTCACGTGAGTTCGCGCCTGGTGTCTGACAACTTCTCGGTCTCTGTCTGTCTGTCTCTCTCTCCCTGGTTGTCGCTTCGATCTTCGGTTTATAAGGACCTCCATTCAAAACTATCAGTGTAGGGGAAGTAGAATATCGATCCACACTAACTCCCTCCTTCTGATATTGTACTGCCCAAGGGGATCAGGCAATTCCTCTTCCTCCCTTGGTGTTCTACTCAGGCCCTCCACTTCTACGGCCACCTGACCAATCTGATCTCTTTACTGCATAACCAAGCAGGCGTGGATTAGCTCCAATTATTAATTTTAATTAACGTCCCAAATTTTCGTAATTTCTTTTTTTTATTATTTATTTCTAAAATATTTATTTTTAGCAACAACAATAATATAACGTGTTTTCATATATTTAATGATAACTTTATACTTTTTTTCTTCTTATTTATTGATTCATTTCTATTATTGTCATTAAAGTAATAATAATTCAAAGTGGTACATTTGATAACGGACTGTTCACTCCACCATCCAGTATAAATATATACACTGTAATGGTATGGG